AACATTTAATTATCATCTACTTTAGTTAGAGGGTCTACAGTCGTGTTCTTGTTATGCTTAGTGTTTAGCATCTTCATCCATGGCCTAACATTATCCTCATCGTGACGAAACAACACACCATGGTGTTTAGTGTAACAATACTTTGCCTTCTTGAACATGTTTTTCCTCCATATTCCAAACCAAGCACAATCTATACAATCCATTAAGTCCTCAACGTTGTTGTGGACTACATTGCATGAATTGTCGCTCTTACAATAAATCTTCTCCAATTCACTCCAATTTACATTATGATCTTCTTTGATTCGCAAGCTAGCTTGTTGTTGCCAATATTTGCTGATCATCTGAATTCTCATTAAATCAGATATGTTGGTCATATGCGGGAAAATATGAGCCTCAAAAATCGTCTCCCAAGCCCCAAATTTTTTAGATGAATTAAAATCTTCTTTGGCCAACTCTATACTCTCCATTTGTTTGTAAGAATTTGTAAATATGTTTCAAAAGTACTAAACTCTAGGGTGTTATAGTAACAGGGTTATAAATATATATGCAAGTCCCTTCCAAAAAGTAAATTTTAAACTATTTTTAAAATTTATCCTCATTGGGAACTGAACAAGTTTAGGTTTTTCTAATATTTGATATCATATGATGCATGAGGTTTGCTAGCCCTTGAACAAATTTAGACAAATTTTAAACACTTCTAATTTAATAGTTCATATAAATATATATTACATGTAACACAAAATAACGAAAACATAATCAGTGACACATAATAACGCTAAGGTAAATAGATAAAACACTACAAACAAATTAATAGTCTAATACTGTATTTTGGACACAAATAAGTGGTAGTAGTGCACGAACATCATCTAGAACTATAATAAAAACAGATTTGTCCGAAGTACTCTTTGTAGATATTGATGTATGGACGTCTAATCCCACGTTGAGGTCCTCGTTCATATCTGAAGTTAGGTTCATGCATGTGCTGCCATTCCCAATTACCCCTGTAGGGGGTGTCGTGCACAAAGAATGGAATAAGTCTATCCCATTTCCTACAAGTCAACATGAATTTTGATAAGGTTCTCTCAGACATAAATCCCCAAATTATTTCTATTAAGTCTTGATTCTTCCATAAGCAAACATCTGCCAGATCAAGAGGTTCAATAACATGAGAATTGCACAATTGAAAGTATAAACCTCTAGGCAACTGTCTCCTCCACTTAGGGTCAATGGCGAGCTCCAAAACCCACTTTACACAAGTGCATTGTGTAGTTTCAGAATGAGGGTATGAACTTTCCATCAATTCCTTTTTAAATTCTGCGGTTTTGAATTCCATCCTGTATCAAGTCTGGAAATTGGGAATTAATCAAATGCTCTCTAATGGAAAGACACAGTACACACATTTAACTTAGTTACGGGGATATGAAGAAAATTACAACATTTAAGTGTAACAAATAATTTCTAGTATCCAGACCTATTTTAAAGTTTTTAATAGAAGTACAAATTTAAGTCATTAAGTAAAGTCAATATTGGGAAAAGATAAAAAAATCAATATTTATACCGATTTCCTCCATTCGAGAAGAGCTTGGGTGCCGTTTTGGTTCTCATTGATGTCGTCAATATGAAAGTTTATTAAAATTTAAAAAATGAATACAATAATTTAATAGATTTAGGGGATAAATTGATAAAATAATATATCTGTGTGAGTAGAGTGAATACTGATTAAAATAATCATTTAACCTTTTATTTTTTTTTAATTCACCCAATTCCAATAAATAAATACAAGTTAAGTTAAAAAAAAACATAATCAGTAAATTTCATTCATATAAGTATATTAAAATTATTTGTCACAGGTTGTTTCTATTTTCGCACTATGTAAACTTAAGACAAAGAATTACCTTTTGGCGCTTTGATAAAGATGATGATGATCCATCGTCTTCATCGCACTCTAAGAGACGTTTCCCTTTGCGATCAACATCCTACCACAACAAGGATGAGTGAAATGATGAACAATAAACAATCACATCAACTTAATTACCCAAAAAATAAATAATAGAAAATCGGACTTTTGTTTAAAATATTTGTTCATAATAATACTCTATTTACTAAAAAATATCCACATTACAAATAATTGCACAAAGCCTCTTCGATTTCATTTTCGTCGCCGATGTTCTTTGGTTGTTGTTGATTAAGTGCCTAAATTCATTTTAAGGACACACAAAAATAAGTTAAGAATATATGGCACCACCATATCTACACATGATGAACAGAATTAAGGGAAGACATTAATAGTAACATAAACTTACACCCTCAGCGATGGAGATGTCATCTACATCTGAAAGTTCTGTGATTTTAACCATGTTGAAGGAAGTAAATGTTTGAGTTTTTGTGGGAGTGGATTAGAGTTTTTGAGTTTATTTTTGTTTTTATTTTTTTGGTAAATGGAATTCTGAAATAGAAAGTGACGGTTTATAACTTCCTTTGTCAAGACGTATGGGTGAAATGAGTGGGTAGTTTTTTAAGTTTGTGATGAAATAACTTCTAAAGTAGGAGTAGTGGGTTAATTTTTTTTTTCGACTTATTAACTTTTTGTAAATTATGTAAGAATTTTTAAAAATAATTGTCCTTTTTTTCTAAAAAAAACCAAAGTTTATGTCTTGAAAATCTTATGACAATTTGTATGTAACATTAAAATTTTGGATTGACAAAAAAGTGGAATTATAAAGTTTTTTAATACAAATGAATCTAGAGATGGAGACAAATGTGTTGTGAATTGGGTAGTCAATCATGGATGGACGAGATTGATAAAAAATTGAAATTCTTTTATCTCATTATCATGTGATGAGTTTAGTCTATTATGATTGAATCCGAAGATTATAAAATCTCAATACCGTTTGAGTATATTAGGTTTTAAGCCGTGTTAATAATACCTTTAATTAGACAGCGTTAGTATACAATCTTCCTACCATATGAGCGTGACATGATTTAAGCCTTGTCGATTGAACGAAAGATTACAAATTGCGAGTATACAATCTCAATGCCATATGAGCGTGTATTGAATTAAGCCGTGTCGATTCTACGATTAATTTGTAGTTTGCGATTATAAATTTTCAATACCACATAAGAGTGTCATGGTTTTAACCGTCTCGGGAATTCAGATGCTTACAAAATGCGATTTATTACAAAAAAGGCTTATAGAGTCTCAACACCGTATGCGTGTATCTTGATTCAAGCTTTGTCAATAATTATAACAATACATGGTTGACGGGTATACAATGATGATGTGTTATACCACGACAGTGTAATTGAATGTGATTACGGTCATTTTACCCGTTTTGGTAGAATATATACCCTAATAAAATTATAAATAATTAGGCAAGTCAGTTCCATGTGTTATTTGTGTCTACCGGGATCTTAAGATTACAGTAGCATATGTAGATGAAATGATAAGTCTACCATAAACCCAAAACCAAGCCCTAAACACTGCACCCTTAACCTTAAACAATTAGGGTCGGAGATAAGCCGAGCTTAGATGAGTACTACCTTTACAACCTTACACAATTAGGGTTGGAGTTAAGCCGAGCCATATGAGTACTACCCAATAATTAGATTAGTACTACCTTGTCCATGTTCAAGTTTAGTCAACTTATTAGGTGAGTCCGAACACGATCCCGGGCTTTGAAGCAAGCCTAAGCATCTGTTCAAGGTCACCTACTTTAATTTCATATATGTTTGCGAATGGTTTATGAACGACTCGATTATTAACTGAGCGTTTCATGAACAAGCTTAGTGTATATATGTGTCATGAACATAGATATACCAGTTGTTCATGAAATAATCTGAACGATTAGGTGTAGAAGCTAAGAGACACACATGATGTGTGCCTGTACAATATAAGTATTATCTCAAGCTACCGGATTCTTGTATTATTCAACAAGTTAATCATATTTTAAATTTAAAAAAAAAAACAATTAGTGGGTTACTAATTTTTTTTTTTTTTTTTTTTTTTAAATAATATTAGGATGGTAGTTTTTCTTAATACAAGGATGACAGTTTTTTTTTTTTTTTTTTTATTTTACTTTGTGAGGGGAAGGATGGTAGTTTTTTTTAATTGAATAAAAAGAAGGTAATTTTTATTTAAAAAATTGAAATTGTGAATTTGAAAATGGAGAAAGGCCTTATGGGAAAAATTAATTTTTTCAGCATTCAACCGATCTTTAACCAAAGTGGTTTATTACATTAACGAACATGAACAAACTTAAACCGATATTGAACTAGAGTTGTTTATTTGTCGGCTCGGTTCATATACACCTCCGTCCATAAACGTTATAGCTTCAAAGTTTTTAACAAATAATTTTGTATCAATTTTATTGTTACTAATACAAATGTTAATTTACTTCTATCATTAACGTAAATTAAAAATTTACGAGTCTTAAAAAAATGGTGTCAAATAATTAGTACAAATACGTAATAAAATGAATGTATCATAACATGTAAATAGTAATCAGGAACGTCTATGCTTAAGTTAAAAATTAAAAGATTTAAAAAAATGTAACAATTGGACCTCAGAAATCACAAACCGACAACCCTATACACCTAATGCCTATACTTTTGATTTGACAAGTCAGATTTTTTCATGCAAAATATATTGTGGTTTGCCTTTTTTTTATATATAAAAATAATTATGCTTACACGTTGTTTTAGGCGTCTTACAATTAATACCTTAAGATTCTCTAGATTTTCTGGTGTCATTAGCTTAATTCTATATTATTTAATTATTTAGTCATTTATTTTTAGTCAATAGTTTTCTTTCATAGAAAAAAAACATTAATTAATACAACAAGTTACTCAATAAAAAAAACTAACCAATTAAAATATAAAGTAATTACTGTTTCCTAATTAAATTAAATAATGTATAATAATGCCTAATGAGAATAAATGTTGGATTATTTTTAATGATTTAATATTAATTACCTGTCCTTAAAAAAATTGCATATTAATTACCATGTAAAGCGGTTTGAGACATAATTCAAGAAGATAGATATTCTGCCCGTCTTCGTTTCATTTTCTCCATTTTTACTTAAAATTCAAACGTTTCTTCACATTTGCTCCTCAGTTATCCTCTTTAAGCACTTCAAACTATTAGTTTAATTCTAAAACTTCAAAGTAACTGACTTCATCAACGACTCAACACACCATGGATGCGTCTGGAGAATCGTAAGTGTCTTAATCGTTTTGTAGACATAATTTCATGCAATTAAATTATTCCCCGATTGTAGTAGAACTTTGATTCTGAAATTTGCAAGCTTTGTGTTGAACTGAAATTATGATTCAATTTGCAAATTAATAAGGTTTTCTAAGAATGTATTTAATTGTACACTGGTTTATTGATTAGCGATTTACATAACTCAATTTGTTTGATTGGCGTTGCTATTACATGTTGTTCTGACTGCTGTTGTTCGTGGGGAAAAAAATTAGAATTATTAATTACATAGACTGCTTTAAAACCCTAACAGGATCGTCCAATGTGAATGCTTCACGATTCGCTAATTAACTTGGTATTTTGTGTTAATTAATAATGAAAATTTATAAAAAAAAAACAACTAGCCTTTCAGTAGATTAAATAAAAAATGTTTCCATGTTACTTTCATGTGGTTTTGAAGCAATCCAAAGGACGTTCTAAACAACAATCCTGCGTTGAATAATTGGGTAGATGTCACTACTATGGCATCAGTAATTGCGTCTGAGTCTGAGGTAAAAATTTGTAATTTGCTTGATATCTTAATGTTCTTAGAAGCGATGTTTTAATTGGAATAATTTGAGTAAATTGTCTACTTGACAGCATCAGATTGAAGTACCAAATGTTGCTTGTCCTGAACACAGCAAAGTTACAGAAGATGCACATAGTGCTGACCCTAATCCTGAAAGTGAAGTAAGTCCTGTGTTTGATGAGTGACATTTATGTCACTCCTAAGGAGTAGTTTTAGAGTATTTTCCGTGTTTATTTTTTCCTTATTTTCCTTTTGTTCTCTTGTTTTCTCTTTAATAAAGTTTCTAGTTTATTTTGGTAATTTTGAAGCGTTTTAGTTTATTTTCTTTATTTTATTAGCTTTAGTTTATTTTCGTATTTTATTTTACTTTATTTGCTTGTATAGTTTTTGTTTTATTTTTATTAGTTTAGTTTTATGTCTCTTATTTTCTATTTCATTTTATTTATTTTTATTTTATTTATTTATTCTATTTGTCGTGGTTTTGTTTTATTTCGTCCTTTGTTTATTTTCATTTTATTTTATTTTATCTTTGTCCCGATTCTCCCTTGTTTTTATTTGGTTGTGTAGGATCGTCCTCGGAGGTCGGAGGCTCGAGTCAAAGGTGTCAATCCAAGAAGCTTTCAAGCCCCAAAGTTGCTGCCCAATCTTAACCATCACCACACCCTTCACTATCCTACACCACCCCAAGCAACAACATCTCACTCCCCTGCTCATTCACGCTCACAGCAGCCCACCGTTCCCACAAACCAACAACAACCATACCTCCAGCCTGCAACCCCGCAAACACCACACACACCAGCCCAATCCACGCACCAGCTCTCAGCGCAACTCCAATTCACTTACCTGCTGCCACCCTCACAACACCACCAGCCGCAAAAGCGCACACCAAGGACCACCACTCACCTCCATTTGCCCTGCTCCAATTCGCACCAACACCCCGTAACAGCCACCATCACAATCCCCTGCTCCGCCACCACAATCAACCACAGCAGCCACCAATCACCAACTCACTTGCGAACAGCCGCACCACCATTCTCACGCACCTAAACCAGCAATCAGCCGCACCTGCACCACCGTCAACAACCAGCAACAATTAAGCAACCAATCGACCCAAAAATCAGAGCAAATCACAAATAGATCGGGTTCGAGCAAACCGTTGAGGGTTCGACTGAAGTACGAGTCAGAGATTTTGGAGGTTTTGTTATTCGAAGAGGAGTGGTCGAACACACCCATGGTTCGACCGGACCAACCCCGTAGTTCGGTCGAACCAACCATCGGTTCGATCGAACCATTTCACGAGCCTCGCACATGATATTTAATGAAGATCGAATGACCTCGATTTGATGATGATAGTTGATGAATGGCGGTGATGAAGATGCGCTTCAATGGAGTTCAAACTTCAAGCAGCCAAATGTGAAGGAGAAGAAGAAAGAAAGAGCGTCTGATTTTTTTATTTTTGGGGTTTTATTTTGTTTTTCTTTTATTTTTATTTCTTTTTCTTTTCCCTTTCTTATTTTCTTTCTATTATTTTTATTTTAGTTTCTTATTTTTTTACTTTTCCTTTTTAATTTATTTTATTTTCTTTTCTTTTCTTTTTCTATTTTTCCTAGCTTAGTATATATACCCATTTTGGGGTAATTAAAAGAAGAATTCAATAACTATCTATTCTACTCTCTAATTAGTTTTAGGTTAGGATTAGTCTTCATTGGTAGAGAGAGAAAGTGTGGTTTTCTTCATTGATGAACTTGGATTTTGAAGAAGGAGCTTGTTCAATCCTTTGTAGACCTTCATCTTCAATTAATGAGCAATCTCTTACTCTTTCTCTTTACCTTTGTTTTTGATTTTGCTTATTTGCTTTGATTTTTCTTCTTTGCTTATTAATCATGTTGATGCTTATTGATTTGATGATTGATATTGTATTCAATATGATTTGTGAGTAGTCACTTAGCCAAGGGTGTGGGGATGGTGTAGTTTCTAATTGTTCATGCTTATAATGTTGGGGTTATGTTAATGGTGATTAAAGTCTTTGCATGCTTGATATTCTTTGGTCTTCTTGCAAGTGCACGTTGTTAGTTGATCAAAGATAAGTCTTTGCTAACAATTAACGGAAGTTGACTTAGTTAAGGTTCATTACTATCAATTGTTATTTAATAGTACCTCCTAGTATATGGTTCTAATGTGGAAAAATAGAGGCTATGTTAGGAGAAGCCAATTGACCCCGGAAGGCGGTTAGATTGGACCCCTTTACTTCGGTATTCATGCACTTTTAGTTTACCATTGATTTGCTACTTTGTTGTTGCATGATCAAGCGTCTACTTCACCTAACCATTTCCCTTAATGTTTTATTTCTTGTTTTAGCATCTTTAGACTTTAGTTTATTCATCTCCTATTCCGGACTAGTTTAATTGTCAATAACATTTGGTGGTGTTTATCCATTCTCTGTGGTTCGACCCCTATGCTTGCCTTATACTTGTATTAGGTTTGTTTAGGTTGTATAAATTGTATTTGATCTAGGGATAGACAATTGACGACGCGTTTATTCCCTTGTCAGTGTTCCACCAAAGTACTTCGTATTTATATTTACAATTGACTGCAATGTTTTGCAAGATTGATTAGTTCCTTTTGGATAAGAGGCAATGGTAATTGTTAATAGACACTAATAAACCAAAAATGATACATTTTATATAACACTCTAGCAACAATAATAAGTGTTATCACCCATATTGAAGTCCTAGTGAAGTGTATAATTATATTTTGTCACATTTTGTGCAGACAAATGGTTCAAAGGAGGCAGGGTCACAGAAGGGTACTATCATGGATCATAGTACTGAGACCCACGACAAGGCAACAACGGGTTTGGTACTCAACCAATTACCGACTGGATCAGAGAGATCATCGAATGAATCAAGGGTTCCAACAGTTATTCTACAAACAACGAATTTAACAAAAACAAAAGGGACTGCGGAGGAAATAATTGTGAGTGCTATTATGTGTATTTTGGTATGACAAACTATAACACAAAATAAATGAAACTGAGAATCAATTCACTTCAAAGCAGGAATCAAGTGCAGGACTAGGTGTGCAAACTGGTGATCGTATTGAGGATCATAATACTACTATTATTAAACCAGATTCATTGGTTGCTGAAATCAGTAAAATTAATCCAATAGAACAGGATGTAGTATACACTGTTGATTGGTTTGTTACCCCGTCAAGTACACAAACTAGAGCAACAGCTAACTTGACATCAGATCAAGAAGTGAGATGTTTAATCTTTTAAAGTATTTATATGGTCCCTATTTAAGTTTTTGTGTAGAGTCAATGTTACAATCACTAACTATTTTGTTGTTTTGGATGTGAAAAGCCTCCAACAGAAGGGAATGGTAGAGACGATGCGTCTAAGGAAGCTGTTCAGTGTGAAGATGCTGTTGTGAGAGAGGAATTAAATGCATCTTCAGTACGTTCACCATTACTCTATCCATACAAAAATGAAGCATATTTAAATTATTATGTCGTGTAAAATTTGGGATATTTTGTTATTATGTGTAAAAATAGCCTCCAGCAGAAGGGAATGGTGGAGAGGGTGAGACTAATGCCACTAATGAGGGTGAAGATGCAGATTTGGGAAAGGAATCAAGGGCAGCTGCAGTAAGTTAACCCTGACTCTCTTAGTACAAAAATGATTCAAGCAATTTACCTTATTGTATTGTATAAGATTGGGAAAGAATCTGACAATTCTGTTTTATGTAAATAGGCTTCACCAGTAGGGGACGTAGGACAGAAAGCTGGAGCACAAGGTGCGGATAAGTCTCATGTTCAAATTGGACAGGGAGTTGGGGATGAGAACCCAGAGCATGGTGGAAATGAGTTATGGGATAAGAACATACAGGAAGAGGCAAGTTGTTACCTAATTTCTCTTTGATTATTTGATAATAGGATCCAATTATCAAAATGTAGATCTTGTAAGATTTAATATAAATGAATGAGTTGCTCTGTGACTTACTAGGAACCGCGAGCAGCAGAAAGCAGCAAAAGAAAAAGAAAGCGGCGTCCCAGAAAAGAAAAAGCAGTTGAAAATGTCGTTCCAATTTTCATTACGGAAGGTGAAGAAGAAGAAACTGAACCAACAAAGAAGAAAAAGCGTGGAAGGCCATGCCTCCCCGATCACAAAAAAAAATCCTGTACGTGTTATATCTTAAATTAAATATAAATTTGGCAATGTTGGTGGTATAAATTACTATACATGATTACAATGTACTCGTTAAAATGACAATATATTATATGATGCAGTATCCTGTTATGAGGATTTATCTAGACAGAGTTGTCAACGCAGTACCAAAAGGCACTACTCAAAAGGAATGGATTAGGGAGGCTGGATTTTTCACATTTCTGGATGTGAAGTTTAATGAACTTGACCGGTTTTTTCTGTCGTGGTTAATGGGTCGATGGGATCCTGAAACCCAGTTACTACGCATTAGGGATGATTATGAGATCAAGATCACTGATGAAGTGGTGGGGTGGATATATGGGCTGCCGTTCAGTGATTATACTTTCAATATTGAAGAAAGTGTTACAGGTAATAGGATAAGATTTTATAGCTTTGGAAACAAATTATGATAATGAATACACTTTATATAACCTCCCATTGTATAGATCCTATAAGGTGAAATTTGAACAGATTTTTCCTTATGGTGTGTACAAAATGCAGAGGACAAAGAGTACAAGAAGCTAAAGACTTCCTATTCCAAAAGAGGGGGTATAGGTCATCGCATTCTTCATGCTGATATGACAGAGAATCTGCAAGGAAAGGTTCTTGCAGTCCTATGTTTTGTATGTATTTGGCAACCTAATATGTACAACTCTGAACAATTGGATTAGTCCACTTTTATGCTGGATTTTGAAGTCGCGGTACCTGGAAGATGCACGGAATTGGAATTTTTTAAAGTTTGTGCTTGAATGGATGATCAAGCAGCACAGAGAACTGGATGCAGAGAAGGGTGGCGTTAAGGGATCCCCCATCGTGCTAATGGTAAGTCATCTTTTACTTTACTAGCCTAGTCATATAATAATATTATCCTGTACAGAATGCATACCTTGACAGATTGAAATTAGGCGATAAAGGGCATCGGGGCATACCGATAGACCAAGGCTTGGAATGTGGAAGCAAGCTGATATTGAACGCGCGATTCGTGCAGATACTGCTGCTGATGGGTCGTATGGTGCAGCAGAGGTAATTATTGTTTTTTTGTATACAAATACAAGTTAAACGTTTCCTACAAGAGGTTAGGGACATACTTTTGATCTGTTGAATTTTGTTTAGGTTGTTAGGGATGTTGTGTGTGGGAAAGAATACCCTATTGGTCCGCGGAAGGACCTTCCTGTGTGGATGACGAGTCCGCCTCCTGTGAATCCAAAAGTTACCGCCGTGGAAAGGAAAAGAAAGAGAAGGAAATGCAGAGCACAGGTCAGGGACTTGAAAGAATATAAAGACATTTAACACTATAGTTCTTCCAGAGAAGAAGAGGTAGTTTGAAACCGAGTGTGACTAAGTTCATAGACTGTTACTTACCAGATTACTGATTAGTCAAACTTTTCTTAAAGACAAGCAAAGGACATGAGGAAGAAGCCAATACGGGACGTACTGAGAGGAGTAACAGAAAAAAGACAAAGAATTAGGTAAAAGTTGTGGTCTTAACTTTGGTTGCTTTGTTTGCAAATTAATGCTGACTGAGTCCTATTGCTTGTAAACATCTTTCAGGAACTTCGTGTAGTTCCACCTGCTTTAACCCCTAGACGGGTTACAAAAGCAAGAAGCAGGTTGATACAAAGGAACACACCTGTTGAAGGGGATAAAAATGTAAATTACTTGCATATAAAGTTTATGACATTGTGTTTGAAAAAGTGTAGCATTTCTTGCCTATAATTATATAATTATTAGGATCATTTTACATATTACAGTAGCTTATTATTCATAAAAGCATGATATTGGTTTCACAGGTATAAATCAAAACAAGGGAAACAAGCATCACTGGGAAAGGTGGCAGAACAAAAACAAAGGATGTTATCTCAAAAATGAAAAGGACAAAAGGTAAGAAGGAATCAAGTGAGGATGATTTAAGCACTGAGAGCAACAGTGAGGATGACGAAGCTGATGACGATGATGAGGAGAATGATAGGAATACGGAGGATGATGAGGATGATGAAGAAACTGCCAGTGATGATGGGAGTGAAGGAGAACTAGGAAATAATGGTGAAGATGATGATGAGCCTGATATAGAGGTCACAAACCCCAAATCTGGGAAAGGAGATGTGGGTGGGCCTGATAATGGAAAGAATGGTAACGGGGGAAATGATGGTGAGGAAGATAAAACGGAGGAAGATGATGGTGGGGAAGGCGGGGGTGATAATGACTGAAATGAAAAGAATGCAGAATCAGATGTGGAATGCGACAACGATTACCTGAGCGACCTTGATGACAATGAGGGCTTGCCCCAGATTTTTGATCACCAGCAACGCAGCATCACGGCGATCTGTGACAGAAAGTCAAACTATACTAGGAATTAGTAACAACTTTTTCCATAATGCTTATTTGTGTACCTTCATGTGTTGTAGTAGATTATGATGAGTGTTTTAATCAAATAGGTTTAAGGATCAGATTTTGTTCAAGTGGTATGATGTAATGGTCAACCGTCAACTGGTACACAAAGCATGTAAGAAGAAGTCTCCCATTCCAATAGAGGTAATGATTAAATTATATAACGATCACCTCTCTTTCAAACAGTATGTGTGGGGAACATTTAAAGTAAAAGACATAATTAATATTGTGTTATATAAAAAATAGTTTATGGATGCATTTGCAGTTTACACAAACAACAAAGACTCCGGTACTGCATTATGGATTCTACGTCTTTAGGCCATTATTTTTGGTACGCAATTTGTGCTGTATATTACCAAATTCAAATATTAAGCTACTGTTTTAGAGTTGGCTTATTTAACTTTTATATCATTGACATATGTTTCTAGTGCAATCTACTGGAAGAGGATGCAAAACCTAAGCCTGTTGTAGAACAACTCTTAATCGATGAATCGGAAATGATCGGCAACTATTTCTTGACCGGAGGGAGAAAATTCAAGGATAAGCGGAAGGTGTGTCTTCACTCCTAATAACTCTATGTTAACATTAGAAAAGACAAACTGTGTTATTCATTGATCTTTCCAAACCCAAATTCTATAGATTGGTTGTGTATGCTAACTGAATCACAACTTGTGTATTTGTGTTACATATGGGACATAGGTGATTATGCCCATATTTGTCGATAGAGGATGGTGTGTTTACATTATCAATGTGAAACGCAAAAAAGTATTTATAATTGATTTCCAAAACACGACTGAAGAGGATGAGGATGAAGAAGACAAAAGGCATGAGGATAAGATATTAGTGTTGGTAAGCAGGCTAATTATGTGGTGAACCAGTTTCATGTAAATGTTTTTGGATAATCTCCTGAGACCCAATATTGATTGCTAATTTGTTTTTTTATTTTTATTTTTTTTAATTCTTTAAAAAAATGAATAGGGAAAATACTTTAAGCAGATTCTTGGACTGACAATCGTTGCACTCTTGGAAGGTCCGTCACCAGACGTTGAAACGTATAGGTTTGTCAAGTGTGAGGACGTACCAACAGCGAAATCAGTCCATGAGACGGCATGCTTTGTATCCTGTTCCTATTCAGTCAAACCCAGTCTGTTTTCTCATGGCTTCGTGTGAGTATTTTTTTTAGTAAAATGTTTAGGTTTCTTATTTTTTACCAACAAAATATTGACATCGAAATGGTCCTCTTATTTGCAGATATATGAAAAGAATGATCTCCTGTTTCGAAAATTCATGATGTGGAGGATGTTAATGGCGACGTGCAATGAAGTCAGGAACAACCTAGATGGTCTACTTTTGTAGATTTGGGGACATTTGAAGTATGAACAATTTATTTTCTATGTTCAAGTCAAATCGAACTAGGTAATTTCTTTAAGCATAAACTTTTAACTTTTTATTCTTTGTCGTTTTTTTAACAAGGGAGTAGTCTAAAATATTTAACATTTCCTCCTCTGTCCTTTATTAAACAGCATCACTATGAATTTCCACAAATCATAGTATTATATTTGGAGTCATATTTTTATTTGTAGAATCATATCATAAATCAGCATAATGTCTATAATCGCATTTTGTTGCATTTAAAATTAGTTGTTAACAATCTTTAAATTACCACTTGGTTGCATAAGCAATACACAATGAAATGCAGAAAATTACAATTACACACATCCACCTATCAATAGTTGTTTTATCCATCATCTTGATTTGCAAATCCATGTTTGCCTTTTCAATATTGACCAATTTGAGAACCAATGACTCGGAATAACTCTTCATCTCTAATATTTTCTCCCATAACATGTCATTTTCTACCTTATACTTTTCTACCTCGCACTTCAACAACATGCATTGTTCTTTTAGTTGTGTCAATGCAATCCTTAAATTATTAGATTCAACCTCGTTTGCTTCATCTTCCCAACAAAAATAGCCACAGTCATCATCCTATGCATGGAATCAATTCAATTTTATGCGTATACAAAATAGCATAATTATTTAAGAAAAAAAAATCCGAGACATAACCTAACCTTCCAATATGAACATCGGTAAAATTTCCGTCCGGCGTTAGATGTTTTTTGCGCACTAGTTTCTTGGCTGGTATATTGTGCTTGCATGAATGTAAGACGGAGTCATCGAGGTGGAAAGAAGAAGTGAATGATTCATTATTGGAGGAAGTTTCTTCAACTACAGTCATCTTAACATTCAATTTTTATATGTATGTGATTGAAGCTTTGTCTCAAAGCCCTGATTATGTGAATGTCATTCAATTGTAGCAAAAGAGTAATTTATAGACAAGGATGTTAACCGTTGATGATTCAAATATAACAAGTGACCGTTGGAAAAAAATAATATTTAATTCCCATGATACATCAAATCAGATTCATGTTTAAAGTATCATTTTATCATTTACAGTTTGTTATACCGTTAACAGTATACATACAACTAATACAATACATTAGTGTACACAGTTTTGATATAACGTATACAACAACATAGACTACAACTTTGAAGGTACACTATTGTGAGAACAACATATACCTACTCATAACTAATGAAATTTGCCGTAATCAACATTGCGGAGTGTAATTCCCATATTTCATTGGGTATGGCTTTCCATAAACAACACCTTCAACGCCCTGTGAAACCAATGGTGTATGGTTAATAATTTGTTAGTGATCAAAACGAAACTAATTAACAACTTTATTTGGTAATATAACTAGGTTGCAATAATCTTGTAAATACCTTTGATTTTCCATAACGACCTTGGTGAATGTGGTCAGATTTTATTGCCTTATCAACACTGTCTTGTGTCCATTCATAAATCCTGCATCCATTAGCTTTCCAATCTACGATACTTGCATGCCTTATCCGGTCCAGGTAAATAATCTACATCAAATAACAATAGGAAATCATTGGTTGTTTCTTGATTGAAGCATTAATTGAACAACATATCTTTCTTTGTTACGGAAACTTACCACGAGTAAAAGTGCTCCGCAACCTAGCACCTCCCAATTATCACTGTAATTGGTAAGCCACTCTAACATGTACTTATGATGAGTGATATTTATGTCACTCCTAGGGTAGTTCTTTCTAGTAGTTTTAGCAATAATTCGGTTCATCCTAGTGTGCTTTTGTTATGTTTTGCCTAATTTAAGCAGTCTACCTATGTGTTGCGTAATGTGTTTTTATTTGGTTTAGGTAGGCTTTGCTCCCCTCCCTCTTCGTTGTATTACGCTTCGCCTTCCTATTTTGTAATTGCAGATTGATTGCGGTTCGAATTGACAAGGAGCCAGAGCAAGGACCGAAGCATTGAACCAGCAGGTTGGAGCGGGCGCGCAACTATAGGCGCGGGCGCGCGCTGAGCTGGCCCAATCCTGTGACACCCATTTTTGAGCGGACGCGCTTCTTGAGGAGCGGCAGCATCACCATCTAGCGCGCGGGCGCGCCGTTGTGCAGCGCGGGCGCGCCTGTCTACTGCGGTCCGTAACCTGAAATCAGATTTAAAAAGCAGAGAAGAGGAGAGAGAAGGCATCATTCATTGTTCACATGTTGAAAATTTCAGCATACTCTTTAGAGGAACATTCTTAGTATAGATTTTAGCTTTCTTGTATTGGAAATTCTTCCATAGATCTTAGTGTAGATCTTCAATTTATCAATTTTAGCTACTTTGGGTATTTTGAGGAAGGATTTTGGAACTCTATTGGTGTTTTTCATCTCACTTGGTATTGAATGAAACTATTGGTATTCTTCTTTTTATTCTTTTGTTATATGCTTAAAGTTCCCATCTTTGTTGGTTTAATTGGTGAAATTATCATCTCTCTCATTAATTTCTTAATTACTTTGTTGATTAGTGTAATTGTAGTTAGGGTTATGGATTGTGAGTAGTTTTCTTATTGTTAGGGGTTTGGTGGAGACATGCTTTGAATTTGATGTATAAAGGCTAGGCTAGTTTGGAATACTTGCAATTAAATCTTCCTTGCGCCTATACTTTTTGGCTACTCCATGTTTATGGCCATATGCATGTTGTGGTTGAGTGACTTGAATTAAATCATGACGATAGTGTGATTTAGGAATAGTCATTGGGTGATTGATTATTGTCTAACCTTAGTATTGCATGCCTTATGACGATAGTGTAAGTGCATGTTAACTAGGAAAGCTCTTAATCCCGATAGGGTATTAGAGAGTACTCTTGACTTTGCCTTGTATGAGTTGCTTGGTTTGCATGTAAACCTACTTCCCTAAGCCTAGCTCCTTTGACTTCATATCATGTTCGACCCCTACCCCTAGCATTTATTTTAACTAATTTTACATACTCTTTAGTCATTAATTCATCCACTATTTTCCTTGACCGAACTAGATTAACTTTAGGAGATAGATAGTAGTGCTTAATCGTTTCCCTGTGTTCGACCCTTGACTTGCCTCTAGACTCGTTTAGTTGCATGTTTAGGACCACAAATATCATTTGATATAGGTGTCTTAGTAACGACCTAAAATACCCTTTGTCAAATTGGCGTCGTTGCCGGGGAAACGGTTTCCATTGTGTGTATATTTTCTTGTTGAGACTAGTTCATTCGTTTCTTTCTGTTGTTTTTCCGTGTCTTGTCAGTGCTCACTTTTTGCTTAGCTTTGTATATGCACAGGAGGCTTAATAGCTCTAGGCCTTTGGTGTCCATAGACCACGAGCTAGAGCGTACTCTAACCCAATTGAGGAGACAAGCAAGCGAGAGAGGTGAAGACCCACTTCAAGAGGAAGTGAGAAGTTCCCCTACCCCATCTTCACCCAATTCAAGCGAGGAGAGTGAATCACCCACAGGCTCAAATCCCAACCCATTTTCCAATAACCATAATCAACAAAGTATGGGTGATCAAGGAAACGTGGGTGATCAAAGGTCACTAAAGCAACTTGGAGCACCCGAACATATACCTCTCAAAGTGGGATCCTAGCTCCTAATACCCAAGCAAACAATTTTGAAATCAAGCCTAACTTCATCTCCTTGATAGAAAAGAGGCAATTCACGGGTGTTAAGTTTGAGAACCCACATGAGCATCTCAAATAATTTCTCAAGTATTGTGACACCATCAAGATCAACGGAGTAACCCAAGAGTACATTCGATTGAAGATGTTTCCATTCTCTCTTATGGGAGTAGCCGAGCATTGGTTGAATAATGACGTGCCTCCCGGTTCTCTCACAACATGGAATGAGGTTACTACGACATTTTTGGCAAGGTTCTATAATCATAAGAAGACTGCCGAGGCTCGTTCTAAAATTCAAAGCTTTCGCCAAAGGGGAGGTGAGTCTCTATGTGAGGCTTGGGAAAGGTACAAGGAACTCCAAAGACAATGCCCTCATCATGGCATTCCCAACTACCAAATTTTTCAAACTTTCTATGGAGGCCTTTCACCCCAAAGCAAGACAAGTTTAGATGCCGGGGCCGGTGGCCCTATTATGAACAAGAGAGAGAACGAAGTTGAAAGCATAATAGAAGATGTGGTCCGGAATTATGAGGATTGGTATGAAGGTGAGAGGGAAGCCACTTCAAGCAAAGGAACGGTGCAATCCATCGAGCAAACCAATGCCATCACAAATCTTTCCAACCAAATGGCAAAGATGGCAAAACAAATGGAGGAGCTCATGAAATCAAGCACTCAAAATACTTCCTCTCCTTCTACCAAGAGAGGCCATGGTATGAATCCTTCTACTTCTTCTCCCTCTAATTACAATGCTATGCCTCCCGGTTGTATGTTTTGTGATATATGTGGAAACTATGACCATAATTCCGAACAATGCATGTACATTAATGAATATCAAAGCCCTTCCAAAGAAAATGATGATGATAATGTTGAAGATGTTAATGCTATGAATTTTGTCCCTCGTGAGGGAAATGTTGGAATGCGGCCAAATTGGGATCAAAACCAAAACCGCGGTTGGAATCAAAATCAAGGTTGGAATCAAAATCAATGGAATCAAAGTGGTGGTAGTTATGATAACCAAGGCCAAGGTAAGGGGAACTCTTCTAATTACAATGGAAGAAGTTACTCAAACCAAAAGCCCAATTGGAATCAAAACCAACAACACTATTCCAACAACCAACAACGTTTTAATTCCAATCACGGTTCCGGAAATGGAAGGCCTCAAAATAGACCTCCCGGTTTTGAACAAATTAGGCCACAAGCCCAAATTTCTATCACACCTCCTCCTCAAGTTGAGGCCGCTCCGAATTCTATGATGGGCATGCTCCAAGCTTTCATCAAGAATCAAGAGAGCTACAACAAGAGTCAAGAGGAGGAAAAGAAACAAATTAAGGCACACATGAAATTGCTTGAGACCCAAATCTCCCAAATTACCCAACCAAGTTCTTCATCCTCCCCTTCTTCCTCTTCTTCTTTACCTAGACAAGGTGTCAACCCCAAATCTATGTATGCCATTACCACTAGAAGTGGGAAGATCCTTGAGAGTGATTTAAATGTTGAGAAGAGTTCCGATAAAGGGATAGGACTTGAGGTTGAGGATGATTCATCAAGAGAGGGTGAGGTTCTAGAAGGAAGTGCCGAAAAGCATGAGAGGGGCGAGAGAGAAAAAGAGAAGGAACCCGAAAAGGAGAGCACCAAAGAGCAAAAACCTTTACCCCTTAATCTCCAACCTAGGAATGAGAGGTTGCCTTTTCCCGAAAAAATTTTCTAGGTCTAAGCTTGATACCCAATTCGGAAAGTTTTTAGAAGTAGTTAAAGGCTTGCACGTTTCTATACCCTTTGCGGATGCTATGAAGGAGATGCCTCACTACTCTAAATTTCTAATAGACCTTTTGAATGGAAAGAGAGGAGTTGAGACCGTTAATCTAACCGCAAATTGTAGTGCCATTCTCTCTAGTAAGCTACCAACCAAATTGCAAGACCCCGGTAGTTTTTCTATTCCTTGTTCTATCAATGAGATCCATTTGGGGAAGGCTTTGGGTGACCTAGGTGCTAGTGTGAGTTTAATGCCCTTCTCGGTCTACCAAAAGCTCAATGTGGGAAGCCTTTCACCTACAAACATCATTCTCCAACTAGCGGATAGGTCCACAAAATTGCCTATAGGGAAAGTAGAGGACATCCCCCTTAGAGTTGGTAAGTTCACCTTTCCGGTGGATTTCTATGTCCTTGAGATGGATGAAGATGAAAGAATTCCTATAATTTTGGGTAGGCCATTCCTAGCTACTTCTAAAGCGATCATCGATGTCAAAGAAGGTAAGATGACCTTGAAGGTTGACAATGATTCTATTGAATTTGACTTGAATAAGGTAATGAGACAACCCTCCTCTAGTAATGAATGCTTTAGAATAGATACAATTGAAAATTTGATGAATGAGTTTAGATACCCTCATATGCATGCTTCTAATGATCTACTTGAGAATGTTTTGTTGAATGAGAATGAAGTAGGCGATCAAAAGGAGATGCAATTGTATGAAGAAATACTTGATGAGAAAGAGAAGACAATCACCGACCAAGAGATGCTCCAAACACATGAAATCTTCAAGGTAGAGAAGGAGGAGATCTCCAATGGTAAGGGAGCTCCAAAGGTAGAATTGAAACCTCTACCTTCGGGCTTGAGGTATGTCTTTTTGGATGCTTATGATACTTCCCCGGTTATTGTCAATGCTAACCTCACGGAAGAGCAAACCTCCTCATTGCTAAATGTCTTGAAAAAGCATAGGAAGGCTTTGGGTTATACTCTTGATGATCTCAAGGGTATAAGCCCCTCCCTATGCATGCATAAAATCGATTTAGAGGAGGGTGCTAAGCCGTGTAGGCAACGGCAAAGGAAGCTTAATCCTTCCATGCAAGAGGTTGTGAGGAAAGAGGTTTCCAAGCTACTTGAAGCAGGGATCATCTATCCAATTGCTCATAGTGATTGGGTATCCCCGGTTCAAGTAGTAACGAAAAAAGGAGGTATGACGGTAATGGTTAATGATAAGCAACAATTAGTCCCAACCCGGCTTGTTACGGGTTGGCGTATGTGTATTGATTACCGCCAATTGAATGCCAACACTTCCAAAGACCATTTTTCATTACCATTTATTAATAAAATGCTTGAGAGGCTTACAAAGAATGCCTTCTATTTCTTTCTTGATAGATATTCGGGATTTTTCCAAATCCCGATTGATCCCAAGGATCAAGAGAAGACAACATTTACTTGTCCCTATGGTACCTTTGCGTACCGTAGGATGCCTTTTGGGCTTTGTAATGCTCCCGCTACATTTCAAAGATGTATGATGTCAATCTTTAGTGATATGATTGAGGATGAGATAGAGGTCTTCATGGATGATTTCTCCGTTGGAGGGACCACCTATGAAGATTGTCTATCTAACTTATCTCGTTGTTTGGAAAGATGTGAGAGGGCTAATCTCGTGTTGAATTGGGAAAAATGCCATTTCATGGTAGAGATGGGATTGTTCTTGGGCAAAAAATTTCCCATGTCGGCATCGAGGTGGATAGAGCCAAGGTGGAGGTCATAGAGAAACTCCCACCCCCTACCAATGTAAGGGAAGTGAGGTCATTTCTTGGCCACGCCGGGTTCTATCTTCGTTTTATAAAAGATTTTTCTTTAATTGCTAAGCCACTCACATCTCTCTTGCAGCAAGATAAAGATTTTGTATTTGATGAAGCTTGCCATGAGTCATTTTGTAGGTTGAAAAAGGCTCTTTGCACCGCCCCCATAGTCCAAGGACCGGATTGGTCTTTACCATTCGAGCTAATGTGTGATGCAAGCGACGAGGCCATTGGATCGGTTCTAGGAGAGAGCAGCCTCGTAAGCTTAACTTAGGTTTTCACTTCATGACCACCTGTGTATCTATCGCAAAGGGTAAGAGGTCTGGAGACATACACTGCGGAGCAATGGTCACTAGGTTGGCCATTAAGTTGGGGCGCAGTGATATGTTACCTCTCTGCACACCCGTGGGGAGTAAAGGTGACATTTACCTTGACCTAGAACAGCTTTGTAGGTCTGAATTTACCTTGCCGACCGCTAACCCTGCCTACTACAGTTGGCTTGTGAGAGGGAGACACCATTGCTTTCTTCCCAAACCCCACCTTACCTCCATCACCCGTGCCACCGATTATGTATGGAGAGTTTTGAGAGATAACGGGCAAGTGCCCGAGCTTTATGGGGATGTTGAGGGAGGGGTAGGTGATGAGGAGGAGGTAGAGGAGGAGGTTCAGCAGCAGCAGCAGCAGGCGGGCGCACAGAAGCCCACAGGTACATTCCAGCTATCTGACATAGCTAGGCAATTGCAGGCAATCTTTGAGTCACAACAGGGCCACCATCTGCAGCAGCAGTCCCTCTATGACTAAGCTGTGGACAGAGGAGAGATTGCTCCCCCCGTGAACTACCCTAATTGGTCGCCTTAGCACGGCCCTGTTCCCTCTTGGGGGGGGAACAATCTCCCCACTTACCCTTACTAGCAAGGTCCTTCCGAGCCTAGTAGGGAGCTCCGCAGCTTCCCAGAGGACGGGCAGTACGATTATCGTGTGCCTGGCGGGTGTGACTTTAGAGGGGACCCTTCTTACCCCTATGTGCATCCTGATCACCCCGCCCCTCTGTATTCCCAGTCTGAGGACACTCCCTCCGATCCTTTGCCCAGCTGGCAAGAGGATCTTTTCAGGGGTCACTACGGTTGGCCACCGGGCTTTGACGGTGGCTGGGGCCTTTTCGGCCCACCTAGTGGCTACAGCTATGACGAGCCGCCACCTAAGCATGACTCACCTAGTGAGCCTAGCTCTAGTGGCCAGTAGGCTACGTCCCTAGAGTATATCTCTCCCCTGTTTTGCATGTTTATTTTGATGAGAAGGAGATATACTCTTGGTAGGGAGTGACTTGGCTGAGATTCTTACCTGCGTGCCTGTCGGTATTTCATTGTTTTACTCGTACCTTGATGCTGCTTATTCTGCTGGATTGCATGACTGTTTGTTTGGTTGTTTTTGCCCCTGTTCACTGCTATGGTTGTTGAGTTTTTAATGTGTCTATGATGATGACGATGATTACTGATATTCGCCGACATGGCGATTGACCGGTGTGTGTATATATGGTTCGATGATTGATAAGGTAATGTTGAATTGGGAGTAGTGAAGCAAAAATAAAACTATATTCTACCCAAAAAAAAAAAAAAAAGCCAAAAAGGAGTTGCATTTTATTTCTTTCTCGTCCATCCGGACTAACCCTTTTGTGTATATAGTTTGTTTTCCTTCTATTTGGATTCTCACCACTTTTAGGGCGCATGCTTTACCTTTGGATATGCTCACTTCGGCGTTATTTCGGTGAGATCTTTCTAACTTTTCTTTCTTTTCTTTCATTTTATTTTTCTTTGGTGTGCTTTAGGATAGCTTTAGTTTAGATTGGAGTTGAATGGTTCGAGGATGTATGCTCTTAATTCTTCGGAATCTGGTGATCGTTGGTATTGATGCCGAACGATCTTTGTTTGACGATTGGGATTTATTTGCTTGCATGCCTTTTACCTTTATTCTCTTTTGTTTTGTATAGGATTTTTCTTTTGCTCAAAACAAACCATGTGGTTGTTGTATATTTTGTCTATTGTTGAGCAATAATTGATGGATTTGCATTCTTGAATGTCTTTCTTCCTAAGGTTTAAGAGTTTCCGCGCTCTTGGATTGCCATTGGTTGACTCTAGGATATTTCTATGCTAAGGTAGTTGTGCTAGAACTCGTAAGGCCCATCGAACCCAAATTCACTTGTTTATGGTAAGAAGGTGTTGCCCTCATTAGGGGATTTGAAGGCTTAAAGGTCATTTTTGTAACCCGATGTGAGTTTTATTGTTCAGGCCTCCAACACTTCTTATATGAGCGGCATAGGATCCCTACCAAGGCATGCTTAAATTGAGAACTTGATTTCTAGCTACCCGAGATCGCGACCTAACTAATCTAGACAGGACAAAGGCATTTTCTTCGGTGACTATTTTGATTTTCTAGGCTTCTCTTTTCTTTTGTTGCTTTCTTGTAATTTTATTTGCATTTGCCCCTTGCTAGCCATGTTGAGCCCCATCTTCCTTGTTTATAGCACATTAAAAACCCCATGGTCCATCTATTTCTTTTCTTAACCTTAGACTTGTGAAGTTTGAGCCATGAGAGTTTATTGTGCTTTTGGTTTGAAAAGATGGAAGGTAATGGTTAAAAATGGAAATCACGTGTGTATTCAAGAAAAAAAAAACCGTAAATAGTAAAAAAAAAAAAAAAAAAAAAAGGTGATGTCATTTACCCCACTCGTCTAAGCATTGAGGACAATGCTCCACTCAAGCTTGGGGGAGAGGCTCTACGCGTCTTGTATATAGTATGGTGAGTTTGTGTTGAATAAGCTTGGGGGAGATGTAATTTTGTTTGGAAATTTGGAGATATTCTACGTTGTTTTAAGAATTGGCCTCATTCTTTTCTTCACAATTAGGATTACCTACCAAATTTTTCAAATTTTCCCTCACCTTTACTTCCCAGCCTGCATTACAACCCTTTTTGAAGTCCTTTTGACTTAGAATTGGTTGAGTCACTAGTCGGTGGAGGGAGCTAGATTTCAAGCATATGGAGAGAGCATGTCTTGGTAAGATGTCGGGTTCCCCTTGATTTCATGTCTTATCTTTGTTCTGCCTCCTTCGTGGAGTCATGAGGTGCTACCTAGTAGGGTGAATTTGAACCTAGATGAGG